AACCCTTTGCCAGGCACATAGTACGTGCTTAATAAATGCTAGCTAGCTGACTGACTTTCTGACCCTAGAAGTAATAGGGAGCCACTGAAATTTACTAAAGCAGAGAAATGACATCTTCAGACTTTTGCTTTAGCAGACAGTTATGGATTAGAGAAAGGAGAGTCCTGAGGCAGGGAGATCAATTAGGAAAGTATTGCAAGAGTCCCATGAAGAGATGAACTAGGATGGTGGCTGTATGAGTGGAGAGGAGACAAGCTGCAAGAGGCATTGTAGAGGCAGAATCAGCAAGACTTGGCAACTGGTCAGAAGTGAGAAAGTGAGGTTGGGTGAAGAGTTGAGGATGATTCCAAGGCTGGGAACCTAAATGACTAAAATGATGGTGGATCCCTCAAAAGAAATATAAAAATTGGGAATAGTGTTGGATTGGAGCACTAGGTTGGCACTGGGGCAGTAGGTTTGGGTAGGTAGCAACACTTTGTGTGGTAGCAAAGAACTACAAACAGTCTGGGTGGGTGTACATCAAAAGGATAATGATTAAACAAACTGTGCTACGTAAAAATAATGGAATTTTATTGTGCCACAACAAATGACTAATAAAAAGAATTCAAGAGAAGTAGGAACAATTTATATGAATTGGAACAGAGGTGGAAAAAACTCCAAACAAGAGAACAATATGTATGCTACCTATAGCAATGTAAGTCAAAAGAAAGCCAGAAGAAGGCCAAACTCTGGGTAACTGTCAAAACCAATGTTCTTCTTGGAGAACAGATAGTAATCATGGCGCCCTCCTCTCCTCAAAGGGCTGCCAGGGCAGAAAGTCAAATGTTTGTGAGTCATAGTCACTGGGGCCTTTGTTTTTACTGGACTGTTTTCTTTGTTATTAGGGAGGGTTTAGCTCTGGCAGTGGAGAAGAGGGGTCCAGAAATAAGTGTGATGAAAAACAAAAACATCAATGACACTTGTTTTTCAATGAGATAGTCTATGAAGCATATCATCGGCTGAGAAGAGCTACGTCTGTATCAGCTGCCTCTACAGGAATCGCTTTTGATTGCAAGGGGGTAGAAATGGGCTTGGCTTCATTATTTGACCCAAGTATTGTATGATACTGGAAATTCTGAGTGAATGTTGTCACCTTACAGGATAATGGAATGTCAGAGCTGAGAGGGGCCTCACAGCACAAAACGTCGGAGCTGGGAGGGCCCTTATAACACAGAATGTCAGTGCTAGGAGGGATCCTAGAACACAGTGTTGGTGCTGGGAAGACCTCAGAACACAGAGTGTCAGAGTTGGGAGGGCCCTTAGAACATGGAATGTCAGGACTGGGAAGAGTCCTTAGAACCCAGACTATTATTAAGGACTTAGAACAGATTGTCAGAGTGAGAACACAGAATAGAGAATGAACATGAAATGGCATCCCTGGGAGGGGTCTGAGCAGCCTCTCTGTAAGATCCAATATCCCACAGTTGTCTCTGTAGAATATTGATTGTCCAAACTGGAAGAGACCTTAAAGCCTCCTTAGGCTAACAGACAAAGTAATTTACCCACTGAGGATCACATGGTGAGCTCATAGCCAAGCCAAGCCAAACACCGAGGTCTGCTGACTCCTAGCCTACTGTTGTTTTCCCTATAGCATAATTGATCTATAAGTTTTCTACTTGACTCACAGTGAGATACTAATAATAAAATAAACAAATGAGTGAAAGAATGAACAAACAGATAAATGAATAAGTAAATGAATGAATGAATAACAATAATAATACCACTGAAGGATGATGATGAATCTCCCCTTCTATAGGGCTTTAAAATTTGCTGCTTATTTGACTCAGTATCAGCCCTGAAAGGTAGGTAGTACAAGAATTATTGTCCCCATTTTATGTGTGAGAAAGCTGAGAATGAGAGAGGAGGGTAAGCGGTTTGGCCAAGGTCACATAGATGAGTAGTTTTGGAGCCAAGACTCAAACCTAGGTCTCCTGATCCTGAATCCAGACACTTTCTCACTTGTTTGTTCCCACTTCTTTGAGAGTAGGTAGCACAGTGGATAGAACACTGGGCCTGGTGTCAGGAAGACCTGAGTTCAAATTCAACCTCCAATACTTATTAGCTATGTGAGCCTTGGCAAGTCATGGCACCCCATTTGCCTCAGTTTCCTCATCTGTCAAATGAGCTGGAGAAGAAAATGACAAACCACTCCAGTATCTCTGCCAAGAAAAATCCCAAATGGAGTCATGAAGAGTTGGATATGACTGAAACTAGGAACAAGACTAACAGGGAATGTAACTAAAAGTATCACTGATTCAACAGTTCAGCAGATGTTGCAACACCTCTTAAGTGTCAGGCACTGTGCCAAGTGACAGGGAGTTCAAAGCGAAACAATAGCATAAGAAGTTTGTGTTTCTGGAGGCAGGAGGAGGGATAAAACTTATATCAAAATAAGTATTTTCTAAGAGAAATTTAGGAAAGTATGAGTGCTACCAAGTGGGGAAATCGAGGCTGGATTCCTGGTGGAGGAGGCAGATTTGTGAGGGATGAAGACAAGGGGGAAGTGAACTTCCTGCGCTGGGAGCAGCTTGTGTAAATGGATAAATGGCGATGGAATATCAAGTCTGGCGAACAGTCAGCAGCCTAATTTGAAGTTGAAGAATATGAAATAAGGCTGGCTGGATGGGTAGAATCCCAATTTTGGAAGGCCTTAAATGTGAAGATGAAGAGTTTATAGTTTATCCTATAGGCAATAGGGAGCCACTGAGACTAATGCAAGGGAATAACCTAGGCAGACCCGTTCCTTAGGAAGATCATTATGGCAGCCGTGACGATGGCCAATGCCCAGTCCCAGCATCTGTTTGTGCTATGCAACAGCAGAAAATGTGAGGCCAATTTAAACGTACCTAGCCCAGTTCCTGGCATATAGTAGTGCTTAATAAATGCTTCTTTATATGGTAAGTGCTTAATTAAATGTTTATTTATATAGTAGGTGCTTAATAAATGTTTATTGACTGACAAATGAAAATCTCCGCAGCAGCATGCAAGTTCCTTGAAGGCAGGGATTTGTTGTTGTCATTTTTTGTCTTTGTATCTTTAGCCTCTGCATAAAAGCTAAATAAGGTGACAATATCCAACTTTATCATATTCCTTTACCGATCTTAAACCAATCAATCATTCACCTTATTTATTTAACTTATATGTAGAATGAATCATGCAAAATACGAGGCTGGAATTAAGGTTACCAGGAAGAATATCAACAATCTCAAATATGCAGACGATACCAGTCTGATGGCAGGAAGCTGAAAAAGGATTAAGAAGCCTCTTGGTGGGGGCAGCTAGGTGGCACAGTGGATAGATCACCAGCTGTGGAGTCAGGAGGACCTGAGTTCAAATCCGACCTCAGACACATAACACTCACTAGCTGTGTGACTCTGGTTAAGTCATTTAGCCCCAAGCCTCACTAAAAAAAAAAAAAAGCCTCTTGGTGAGGGTGAAAGAGGAGAGTGTAAAAGCTGGCTTGAAGATTAACATTAAAAAACAAATAATCAAACAAACAAAAAAAACCTAACATCTTGGCAAGTGGTCCCATCACTTCCCAGCAAATGGAGGTAGAAGAAATGGAAGCAGTGTCAGATTTTAGATTCTTGGGCTCAAAGATCACTGCAGCCATGAAATTAAAAGACACTCTTTGGAAGGAAAGCTATGGCAAATCTGGACAACATAGTACAAAGCAGGGACATCACCTTGCTGACAAAGGACCATATAGTCAAAGGTGCAGTTTTTCCAGTAGCAACATATGACTGTGAGAGTTGGATTATAAGGAAAACTGAGTGCTGCAGAATCAACACTTTGGAATTGTGGTGTTGCAAAAGACTTTTGAGAGTCCCTCGGACAGCAAGAAGAGCAAATCATAGTCAAAGGTGCAGTTTTTCCAGTAGCAACATATGACTGTGAGAGTTGGATTATAAGGAAAACTGAGTGCTGCAGAATCAACACTTTGGAATTGTGGTGTTGCAAAAGACTTTTGAGAGTCCCTCGGACAGCAAGAAGAGCAAATCGGTCAACACTTAAATTCAGACTATTCACCGGGAAAGACAAATGCTGATGCTCAATGAAGCTTAAATACTTTGGCCACATAATGAGAAAATGGGACTCATTGAGAAAGACCCTGACATTGGGAAAAATTGAAGGCAAAAGTAAAAGAGGACGACAGAGGATGAGATGAATGGATAGTACCATGGAAACAATGAACACGAACTTAGACAAACTTTGAGAGATAGTGAAGGATAAAAGGGCCTGGCATGTGATGGTCCATGGGGCCATGAAAAGTCAGACATGACTGAACAGCTGAAGGACTGAACAACAAGAACATCTTTAGCCTAGTAAAGTACTCAAACATTCAGATAGGTCTGCCATTTCAAGGATGCCAATATTTATAGGTAATAATAGCAATAGTAATAATAATAGCTAGAATTTATATAGTGCTTTCACAGTTTCTATAGGGCTTCATATATGTATGTGTATGTATGTATATATGTATATATATAAATAAATAATCTCATTTGTTCCTCACAATAACCCTGCAAAGAAGGTGTTATTGTTATCAGTATTATTATTATTATTATTACTATTTACAGATAATAATAGCTAGCATTTATACAGTGCTTTAAAGTTCACGATTCACTTTACATATATTACATCATTTCATCCTCACAACAATGCTGGGAGATAGGCACTCTTATTAACCTATTTACAGATGAGGAAACAGACTGAGAGAGGCTGTATGATTTTTTTTCCCAGGGCCACGCAGTTAGTATGTGTCTAAGGAGAGATTTGACCTCAGGTCTCCTGACTCTAAATTCAGAACTCTATCCACCATGCCACCCAGACACACCTTCATAGGTGCCTGGTAATTGTTTGTTGAATTGAACTGAATTGAAAATTGGACTTTTTTTTTTCGAAGAGTCATGATCGTTTCTCAGCCAAACCCTTAATCAACAAACTGCTTTCCTCCGTAGTACCTGGATATGAGTAAAACACTCGGCAGCCTAATGAACATCAGGGATATGTCGGGAAACGTATCTATGAAATACCTTTCCCAGAAGGAGCGGGAAAAGGTCAACCAGCTTCGGCAGAGGGACCTAGATCTGGTGTTTGATAAGATCAGCCAACTCAAGAACCGGCTGGAGCGGAAGGAGGAGCTTCTGAGAGAATACGAAAGAGATAATGAGGCACTCAGGTACCCTGAAAGTTTCTTACAAACTTCCCCAGAGTCGAGTCCCTTATCTTGGAGAAACACACACACACACACACACACACACACACACACACACACACACACACACACACACACACACACATACACACCACACCCCTAAAAGATGGTCAATCAGACCATCTAGATGCTGGATAAGGATAAGAGAGATCACTTGCAAATGCTGAATGAATGCAGTGAGATAGCCATCAATCCTGTCGTCTCCTGCAGTGCCAATGTGGATCCCCTTTCTCCCTGAGGTGTGCATCTCTTCCATTGCCTAGCCGTATCCTGTATCTCTCCTTGATCTATGCCCTACCTTAAATATCTCATTTGAAAGATTGTTGACTTGAAGACAGGGACTATCTCACTTTCGTCTTTGTCCCCACCCACCCACCAACTCCACCTAGCACGATCCCTGGCACACGGTTGGTGCTTATTAAATGTGAGCTGGTAAAGTAGGGTTTCTCAACCTTTTTTGGACCACGGATCCCTCTGGCAGTCTGGTGAAGCCTATGGACCCCTTTCCTTGATAACAGTTTAAAATAAAGGAAATGCTAAATTTCAGTTAGAGGTTACCAAAAATAAAGATGTATCTTTTCTCCATCCAAGTTTACAAACTTCCTTAAATTCCTCCAAGCAACCACCAAAAGGTCCCTAGGTTAAGAACACTTGTGTTAAAGATCTAGTCAACAAGCTAGAAGACCCATTCTGCCTCTTTAAATAAATTAGAACAGCACAACTCTAGAGTGGTCATCATTTACCAGCTCACCTCCTTTTCTAATCAGTCAATAAGCATTTAATAAGTTCCTACTATGTGCCAAGTACAGCCATAGACACCCTTGATAATTAGCCTTCCGTGCCACTTTTCATGCATAAGTCATACCTTGCAATCTACTTATACTCACCATGCATGAGCATAATCTATTCTCAACTCCCCTAGATAGATTTGAGGGCTCTTAGGAGAAAAGGCCCAAGTTATCTTCAAAAGCAAATTGAATGTAGTGTTCAGCACCACAAAGTTTAACCCAAACTGTGAGCCTGGGCAGCCCTGCTCATCTCAGTGGTCATAGGGGCGGAAGAGTTCAAAGCTTGAGGAACTGTCAGAACTCACAGGGAGGACCTTTGAATAGAGAATGGTGGACCTGCTGGAGGAACCTTCAAACATTAAAAGCTGAAAAGGACCATAGAACCCAGACTATGAAAGCTGGGAGGGACTTCAAGGTATAGAACATCAGAGTTGGGAGGAAAACTCATAATGGAAAGTGGCAGATCTGGGACACACTGTAGAACTTAGAATGCTAGTGGTGGGAGGAAGCTTCAGACAGAGAATAGCAGAACAGAAAGGGGCCTAGAATAGAAAATTGACAGAACTGGGAGAGACCTGAGGACAAAAATGTCTGAACCTAGGATTTCACGGGGAAAGGGAACTCCAGGGCGCAGATCAGTCACTCATCTGTAATTCATAATCTCTGTTGCCTGGGGCCCTGTGATGTTCAATGACTCATGCAGAGATCACAGTATCATCACCTAAGGAGAGGCGGGACCCCGGAGTCCAACCTCCTCACTTTACGTATGAGGAAACTAAAGCCAAGGGAGGTGACTTGTCAAAAGTCACACAGGCTGTAAGTAATAATCATAATAATGTTTATATAATGCTTTCTGTGTGTCAGGCACTGTAGTAAGCATTTTACAATTACTATCTCATTTGGTCTTCACAACAACCCTAGGAGGTAAGTATGGTTACTATCTCCATTTTACAGATGGGAAAACTGAGGCAAATAGAGGCTAAGCAACTTGCCCAGGGTCATAGAGCTAATAATTGTCTGAGGCTGGATTTGAAAACTCAGGTCTTCCTGACCTCCTTCCCTATCCACTGTACTAACTAGCAGCACCTTGATAATAGTTAGTTAATAGTAAAGATTTGGAGTCAGGTCTTCTGGTCTTAATTCCAATGTGTTTACACACTGTTCCTCTTTGCCTCCACATGGCTAGTCCTCATCAGAGGTAGGACTCAAACCCTGGGTTTCCAGACTCCAATGTCAACCCTCAATTCTTAGCTAAGTACTTAGATTAGTACAATGCCTGACACACAGAAAGCACTATATAAACATTATTATGATTATTACTTACAACCTGTGTAACTTTTGACAAGTCACCTCTCTTGGCTTCAGTTTCCTCATATGTAAAGTGAGGAGGTTGGACTCCAGGGTCCCTCCCCTCCTTGGCACTGATCTTGGAGTCAGGAAGACCTGAGTTCAAATCCAGCCTCAGATACTTAGTAGTTGTGTGACCCCAGACAAGTCACTTAAGCTCTCTGTGCCTCAGTTTCCTCATCTGTAAAACGAGGATAATCCATTAATAGCACCTCCCTCCCCAGGGTTGTGGTGAGGACCAAATGTGGTGATAATTGTCATGCACCTAGCACAGTCCCTTGCACATAGTAGGCACTCTATAAATTCTTATTCCCTTCAGCTCTGCCTTGTTAGAGGATCAGATCCTGAGGCAGTTTATGGAGTTTTGCTGCTGCTATTGCCCTAGTACTTTGTTCATTATGAAACCACTCAGTTGGCTTCATGCCACAACACAGGGAGGCCTTCCTGGGAGGACACTGGAGACACGATGACTACAGGAGGGGAGAAGAAAAAGACCTTGTTTCTCTCTTTGGCCAGGCAGAGTAAAGTGCCCTGGCAGGTGTATCAGGCGCAGGTGAGTAAACTAGAAGATGAAATCTACAAGGAGGCGGAAGAGAAAGCTCTGCTGAAGGAAGCCCTGGAGAGGACTGAGCAGCAGCTCAGCCTGGAGAAGAAGATAAACCGCTCCATCAAGCAGCAGAAGGTCAGTGGCAAGTGCCTCTATCATATTTAGAAAGAGTCCGCAGACCTGGGTCCAAATCCTGCCTCTGACACTTACTACCCAGTAATCAGAAACAAATCACATGACCTTCATGCTGTAAAATGATGAGTCTGTACTAGATGGCCTTCCATCTCTACCCATGATCCTCTGCCTTGGGTTCAAATCCTGGTTCTCCTATCTTTGAGGTCTTAGATCAGACTCTTTCCCAGCTGGGACCTTTGTCTCCTCCTCAGTCAAATGAGGCTGATGGATAGAAGTTGATGCCTCAAGTCCTCATAGTACTGTGTGACCTTGGGCAAGGAACCCCCCCCCCAATTCATCACTGAGCCTCAGTTCAATCATCTGTAAATTGAGGCTTTGGGACCAAGTGTTTCCTTCCAGCTCTGATGTTACCTGATTCTAAGAAGTAAAACCTCCAGCTGTGCTCAGTGACCCTCCCTGTACTGCTTTGGGTAGCTTAAGAACCAGGTTCAGGGACATTAGAAGATGTTTGTCCCACAGTGAGGGAGGTGGCTCATTTCCTGCCTTAGGGAGTAAACAGATATGTCCAAAAGATGCTCCTCCCTACCCTACTGCCATCTCCTGCCTCTTCCAGTCATGTCCACTCAGTCATGTGTAAATTCCCAGTTTTATTTTAGCCTTATCAGGAAATAGTTTCCTGAAGATGGGCAGACAGTTCTAACATTTTAATCAGGGATTCTTCAGCTAAGGTCCATGGATAGATTTGAACATGATCACAAAGTTGGATAGGGGGGAAAAAATATGCTGTTATTTTCATTCACCTCTAACTGAAATTTAGCACTTCCTTCCATTATGAATGGAGGCACAGTTCTAACCTAGCCTTTAATCACTGAATGGGTATTGCCTCAGACAGACTGAGACCTGGGAAAGACCACAGCTTAAAAAATCCAGGGTCTTCCGTGGCATCTGGGAACATCACTAGTCATCCTGACCTATGTCTAGCCACTGGACTTCAATGACTCTGGAGGAGAGAGTGAGGTTGGTGTCTTTGCACAACTCTGCCTCACTGAAATCTAATTCACTTGCAAGTCAAGACAACATCCTCCTGATGTCATTGATCCTCTTCAAGAAGGAAGAACAAACAAGAAACAATGAGTAACAACAACAACCCATAATTGTATGACCAGGTCCTTGGACTGTGTCACCAATAGAAATCACAGCTATGTCATATACTACAGTTGTTGAAGCTATCTCAGCATATCATTGACACTCATCACCACTTCAAAATTACTGTAATTATTAGATGTGCTGTGAGACCTCATTTGATCCAAGTCTTTCTGGATATAGACTATATTTCCAAATAATCTGTTTCCTTTACAAGCCTATGGATTTCATTCTATGCCTTTAAAAGCATGATTCTGAGAAGGTTTCGTAGGCTTCACCAGACACTGCCAGAAGGCTCTAGGATACAAACAAGGTGAAAAACCCCAGCTCTAGATAGAGTCCATCAATCAACAAGCGTTTATTAAACACCTGCTTTGCACCAAAGTTAAAGAGACAAAGATAAAAATTGGTTCATGCCCTGAGGGAACTAACCATGAGAGAAGACAGATACTATATAGGTATGTATCAGATAGATACATGCTGACTTGGGGGGAAGATACTAGCACCTCAGGGACTCAGAAGATGCCTCATTCAGAAAGTGCGCTTTGGACTGAACCTTGGAACAAAATAGGGACTTTGAGAGATGGAGGTGAAAAGGGAGTACACCTTGGGCATAGGGAGCTTTTTATGCAAAAGCATGGTGTCAGAAGATGTAGTGTCTTGTAGGAGATACTCTGGCTGGTCTACAGTGTGCATGGAGTGACATCAAATATGATGAGTCAGGAAAGGTAGATAAAGGCCAGGTAGTGAAGAATGTTAAATGCCATGTAGAGTTATTTATATTTGATCTTAAGGGAAATAGGGAGCCACTGCAGTTTACTGAGGAGAGTAGTGCCATAGAAATGTTAGCTATTCTTATTAATACACTTGAAAGTGCTGGAGAATCAATGAATAAGCATTCATTAGGGTTATGTGGAATGCTCTGATATCATTTAATGAATTGGTATTTCTCCCATATCAATTAATATTAGTCAATTATTAATTGATCAATTAATATCACCAGCTTTTCTGAGTGGGTATTGATTGAGAAGGTGGGATAGTGACTGGGGTACAACAACATCTCCCCAAAAACACCTGAGACAGACTCTCCCAATAGAACAATACAGAATGTTAGAGCTGGGATTGTCCAGACTGGTTAGATTAGGGGTGGGAAGGACCTTAGGAAGGAAAGAAGAAAAGGAGCATTTTCTCAGTGTGTACTATATGCCAGGCCCTGTTCTAAATGCCTTACAAACATCTCATTCGAGTCTCACAAAACCCTGGGAGGCAGGTGCTATTATTGTCCCCCTTTGACGGTTGGGGAAGTGAAGTCAAGTGCCTTTCCCAGAGTCACACAGCTAGTAAGTTTCTGAGGCTAGATTTGAACTCAAGTCTCCAACGTGGACCCAGAACAAGACCTGGGAGGGATCTGAGTATTCTTCAGGACCATCCCTTCCCCAGGAACATCTCTAAGGTCAGTCTGACCTCTATAGTAAGCTTTGGGGTTAGTCAGCTTCTAGACACATCAAACAATATTCATAAATAACATTTTCTAAACAATATTACAAAATGTTTCCCTACTCTCTGCTTCCTTTCCTTCTTATCTGATAGCCTCCCTGGATGAAAGTGACTACCAAAGTGTCTGAGTGTTGCTTCCTTGTTAACTTCTATACATTTGAATGATATTTTCCTAATGCTGTCAGATGCTGGGAAGGTGTCTGATCTGTCTAGACAGACAGAGGTGTGTGATAGTAGATATATAGCTGCTCTTAGAGCCAGGAAGACTTAGATTCAGATCCCACCTGTGACACCTACCATTTTGGTCTGGTAGTGCTGCCTGTCAACTCTCTAAGATTATAATCCAAGACTATAATCAGACACGGCTAGTGTCTGATCTGCACTGATGGAGGGAGTATCCACACTAGGAGTTCCCTATATCATTGAAGTCACAGATCCCGTAAAAACTGATGATGATGATGATGATGTGGCAAAAGGAATAACAGGAGATCCCAAATTTTGGTACAAAAGCCCAGAGTACCTTTTCCACAGAGGTATGCTGAAGCCAGCTCCTACCTGCTGGGGAGCCAGTTGTTAAATTTTCATTGTGAGCATTTACACTTCAGGGCTTGACTCATTGTTTTATTGATTATGTAGACTGCTATAAGTGACGGAGAAAATAGGAATAGAGCAGATTAACCTTAAAAGTATGTTCTGCATTTTCAGAAAACCAGCTGTTAAACATTTGTCAGCACACCTCTGCCTCTACCTCACCTCTGGGGAGACCTCTAGGGGAGAGCATGTATCCTTCTGTAGATAAAAATAAGATGGAGTTGGGATGGTGGATATAAATGGGCAGGTGGGTGAGCATGGTGACCACTAGAGCAAACCCCTTCTCCCCTCTCATCCCAGAGTACCCCAAGAAGTTCTTATGTATGTTGAGGGCAGGCACAGATTGGGAAACACTAATCCAACTCTTATTTTAACCCAGGAACGGTTAGAGGAACAGGAGCAGAGGGCCCCAAAGGAAATATCCCCTTTCGTCTGTGTACCCAAAGAGAGGCAAGAACGGGTAAGGCAACTCAGAATGTATCAGATGGACTCTAGATCCTAAAGATCAGCATCATACCTTTCAGGCTATTGGTTACACCAAGGTAAAAATCCAGTCTGCCCCCCTGAATAAAGGGAGAAGGGGGGAGAGGAAGACCTTGGGTGGGGGGGTATTAGGGAGAAAAGCAGTTCTTAGGATCACAAATTTAGAGTTTGAAGTCATAGGGCCTCAGTGCCCTCATTTTGCTGCTAAGGAAACTGAGGCATAAAGAGGCTCAGTGACCAGGGTCATGTAACTGGTGTCTAAGGCAGAATTTGAACTCAGTCTTTCTGCCTCCAAACTCAGCACTCTATCCATTATACCACCTAGCAAGTAATACAAAGTCAATTCAAGAGGAAACAACAATAACAAAAGAGAGCTCAGGAAATGGACTAGGGGGTACCTGAGCTTGTATGAAGGAAACTGACTGGAAGGACCACAAGCCCAGAAATGAGTAAAAGAAGTAGATCAGAGGTTGGCTTTTGGATGGAAATGGCAATATTATACATACTGTTGTTGCTGCTGCTACTGCTTTTGTTATTTTTACAGTGGTTTACAAAGCTTTTCCCATGTAATAACATTGCAAGGCAGGTGGTACCATTATTATTATGCCCATTTTGCAGATGAGGACACTGAGTCTCAGGGAGGTGCCCAATCTAACTTTGGAACTGGCACTTATGTGTATACATTTTGACAGACTAGTGTCTGATAGACCATAAGTTCCTGGGAACTTTTTTTTTTGCTTTTGTCTTTGTATTCCCCCCTCTCTCTCCTCCCCCCAACATTAATAAATGCTTATTGATTTACTTGAACCTAGGACAGTTAACTCTAAACCCAATGAATGTTTGCTTCTCCCAGAAATTAGAGGGAGGTGAGAGGAGCTGTGGAATGAGAAGCACTGCTGAGGACAGAAGAGCAGCAGCTCTGAACCTTAGCCACCTTTGGCCCCAGAACGAAGGAAGGTGCTAGGTCTCAATCTCCTTCATCAGGGAGGGGCAGAGCTAGGCACAGAGCTAGGGATCTGTGGGGACTTCCTCTTCTTCCTGTATGGGCCTTTCTCAGCAAAGCATTGCAAGAGAGAACTACCTGGGGTAAAAAAGGTCTTGATCAGCTATTACCCACTCCCCATGGCTGCTTGTAATACAATTCCTGCTCAGACCCAGTCAAAGATAGATGGTACAGCTAGAAGAGACCCACTGTCCCCTTGCTTCCTTACCTGGTAGTTGCCCCAAATGAAAGGAGTGTTTCTCTGAAAAGATTCATTCCAAAAGAAATTTTTAAAAAATTAGCATTCTGGAATGTATTGCCACTCCAATAAAAAAAGATTAAAAAGATAGGAGGATACAATGGAAAGGTCACTGACTGTGAATTCAGAAGCCCAGGGATCAAAACCCACTTTTTGGAAGCACTTTGGATGCTTAGACCTGTGTGACCTTAAGTAAATCATTTAGCCACCCTAAGCCTCTGTTTCTTCATAGACTCTGAGACCCTTCCAGTTCTAGACCTATGAATCCAGAATGTGAGCATGCTTCCAGAAATAATCAAGCACAGGGGCAGGTAGGTGGCGCAGTGGATAGAGCTCTGGCCTTGGAGTCAGGAGGACCTGAGTTCAAATCTGGTCTGAGACCAGACACTTGACACTTACTAGGCAAGTCACTTAACCCCAGTTGCCTTGTGGCGGGGGGTGGGGAGGGGGCTAGTAGATTGGGCAAATCCTGAATTTTTTTTAGAACATCTGTGTCTTTCAAACCTCAAACCAATTTCACTGGTACAAAATGGAGGAGATGACAGTTAATTTGAAAGAGGTCCAGGGATCTAGATGGATTGCAAGCACAATATGAGGCAACACCAGAATATGGAAACTATGAAAGCCTTTGAGATCTTAGGAGACGTTAAGGAAAGCATGGCTTCCTCGAATAGAGATGTAATAGTCCTACTGTCTTCTACCCGGGTCAGAACATTTCTGGAGTAATATATTGAGGGCTGAAGATTTAGAAACAACATTTCTTAAGGATAGAAGGGCCAAAGGAAGGCAGCAAAGATAATTAAGGGCCCTGAAATCAAGCCATAAACGGATGGGTTGAAGAAACTAGGTATATCTATCTGGCAGATGCAAAGCCTTAGGGGAGGTCATGAGAGCTGTCTTTGGATATTCAAAGCATTTTTTTTTCAAGTGGAAGAGAGATTGAACTTGCTCTCTTTGGCCCCAGAGGGCAGAACTAGGAGCAGTGCTAGGGATTTAGGTTTAGCATAAGGGAGAAAACTTTCTAATAATTAGAGCTGTCCAAAAATGGGATGAACTGCCTCTGGAGGTAACAAGTTCCTCATCACTGAATGTCTCCAAGCACAGGCTGAGTAACTCCTTCTCAGGTGAGAGGCAACAGAAAGAGCTCTGAATTTAGAGTTAGGGTCTCTGAAGTCAAATCCCATCTCTGCCACTTACTATGGGCAGGACTTTGGGCAAGGCTCTGAGCCTCAGTTTCCCCCTCTGAAATGAGGCTCTTAGACTAAAGAACCTCTAAGGTGTCATCCTATGTGTGCGGTAGAAAGAATCCTTGTCCAGGTAAGTGTTGGACCAGGGGGCCACTAATGACCTAGATCTAGTGCTGAGGTTCCAGGCTTGAAAAATGCTGTTATTCTTCTTAGTACTGCCTCCAAAAAAAGAAAAAGAAAAAAGATGCTTATTTGAGACAAACAGGAACATAATTCAATGATAACTAAGTAAGCCTAGCTACTTCACTAGAAAGTGATCAGAAGTGGCCTTCAGCTAAGGCCACTAAGTGGACTCTGCTAAAACTCTCTTCCATGTGGTTTTTGGGTGGTTGTTGTGGGTGTGTGTGTGTGTGTGTGTGTGTATGTGTGTGTGTGTGTGAATGTGTGTGTGTGTGTGTGTGTGTTCCTGGAAGACACTTTCTTTCCCATGACAAAAGTCCCACGGACTGTCTAAATTAGACTTGATAGAAGGAAACACTTCCTGACAGGGAGAGCTGTCCAAGAGGGGAATGGGCTGCCCCAAAAGGAAAGGGGGGAGGGGCTCCTCACTCCTGGAGGTTGTCAAGAGAGTGATGAGGCCTTGTCTGTTGTAGAGTGGATTCTTACTGATGTATGGGACTAGATGGCATCTGACATCACTTGCCCCTTGGAAATTTGGTGAAATGTTTCTTCAGGACTCAGAGAATTCCCCTCCGTAGCTGGCAGTTCTGATGAAAGGAGCAGCGATCCAATGGAAATGTTTGCAAAAACAGCAGGATCCTCCAAAATAAACTTTTCTTTAATGCTTTCATTTTATTTTTCAATTCATTACTTTCTCTCCCTCCCACCCTCACCCTCCAAATCTTTTTCCAAAATTTATTTTATTTTTAATTTATAAACTAAAACAAGCATTTCCATAACGTAGTATAAGAAAAAAAAGATGCTTGTACATGAAACTGCAAATCTGCTATGTACAATTTGCTATTCCTTTTAAATATACAACAAAGTTAACATGTTAATTTCTTTTTTTTCTTCCCTCCTCCCACCCTGCCCTAGAGATGGCCACCATTAGACACAAATAGATATAGATATATGTAAAATTGTAGTTATTATCCCACCCTCAACCTCCTAATCTTAAAAAAAAGGTCAATAAAACCCTTGTGACGATGCCAGTCAAACAAAAATGAGTCCCCACATTGGCCACCTCTATTGCTTCACCACAGGGATCAAAGGAACCATTTCCTTTTAGAGTCCTTAAGTCAGTGAAACAAGAACTTACTTTGCAACCAGAGCAAATATCTGGGCCATTGGGAAAGCACCCAAAGGGAATATTTGCTTAAACAAAAGTCTTGTTTAATCCAAAGCTGTAGTTGCAGCCACTGATTTAGAGGAGCCCTGGATGAAGCCTCCTGCATACACTGGCCCTATGGCCAATCCCATAGCCATTGACCCCTCTGGAGCTTAGCATCTGGGCACCTCCAAACTCAGAGCCACTTGATTCAGACAAGGCTGTGCTGCCCAGCAATGAGGGCTGTCTGCCAAGGCCTCTGCAATGGCCTCTTCTGAGAAGGCAGTAAGCAAGCATGAGGAAGAGGAGGAGGAGGAGGAGGAGGGCCTGAGGGCACCTACACTGTCTGTACTTTTCGGTGCTCTGCTGCTTGGCTCTGAGCAGCTGGATGCTGCCCAAGGACAGCTTCCCATGCTGTCTCCTGCTGGCTCCTCTCAGCCTGGAGGCAGCTACCAGAGAGGCCCTGCAAGAGAACTTCCAGCCAACCCATTCAGGAATCACTTTTTCAGACCTGTATTTACTTTTAGAGAATGTCAAGCTGAGAGTAACCTTTGAGTATAGAATATCAAAGCCAAAATGGCCTTAGAACAGAATGTCAACCAGCAGGGGCCTTAGAACACACCATGTCAGAGCTAGGAAGGACCTTAGAACACAGGATGTCAGAGCTAGGAGAGAGCTTATGTAATGCAGAACATTATTTTACCATTTAGGTAGTAGGACCCTTTAGGCCATGGAAAGCAGAAGTCGCTGCTTAATCTTGCCCCAGACCTCTTTCCTCCTAAATCTAAACAGTAGTGAAATGTGCTCTTGCATAGCTTAAGCATAGCCCATACCTCCAACGCAAATGGATAAGAAAAGTTGCAATATAATGGCTTTAGATAATTATGTTTATACCAGAAACCAGGACACCTGGTCTGGTTTGTGTGATCCCTGACCTGTAATGATGGGGTGCTCAGATACTCGTGCTTATACTTTTGCCCCCAAAATGCCTCCCTGGTGTCAGAAACACTATCTCTGACAACCACTCCCCAGCCCAAGGACACTGTGCCTAGCAGTATTCATGCATGGGCCTCAGCATGACCCTTATCTGGTTGCTCAGGCTCCAGCCCTCAGATCATATCTCTGGAAGCCTCCAAATTCCTTAGCATGACCCTTATCTGGCTGCTCAGGCCCCAGTCCTCAGATCATATCTCTGGAAGCCTCCATTGTGAGAAAGTTTTTTCCTTTGTTGCAGAGCATTATCATGTGTAGACAGAGGGAGAGGGGTGTCCTTGACCAGCCCCAAAACTCTTCCTCTTGCCAGACTTCAAAGATCCATCCCCCTCCCTGTCCTGTATACTCCCTACATAAACCCTAGCTCGACCCCTGATGGCTGCTGCTTGATTTGGATGTGAATACCCCTGGCAGCCGCGCGCTAATATAATAAAGTCCACAATTTAAATTAGTCTGGGTCAACTCGCTAATTTCTCTGTATAACACTTAGAATTGTTGTGGTCCATAAAAGAAAAAGACCAAGTTGACAGCAGATTTTTTTTAAAAAAAAAACCTGCAATGCTTGGAGGATGAACAGAATATCTCTGAATACAAACTCAACTAGATTTTCCTATAGGTCTTATTTTCTACAGAAAATCAACAAAAATAAATAAATAAAAGGGAATGGTTATTTTATTCTAATTGGCTACTATTGACAAGGTGTTTTGTGATGAGACATTTTTACTAACAGGATACAGAAATGCCTGAGAGTAAATACATTCTCATCATTAAGAAACTTTTGTTTTGAAAAGATATAATATATGATAAGATCAATTAGAATGGGTTAGTGATAAATTATAGTACAATTAACTATGAAATTAATAATTAATAAGCAATTAACTATGAAATGGGACACAGGGTGTAAGGCATTCTCCCCCAGGCAGACATTTGTTATGCTTTTTTCTTTCCTCCCATGATTTTTTTAAAACCAAGATGGAGTCACTTTGGTTCATAGCGGAACTCCATTTCAGAACATGGTATCAGAGCTGGGAGGGCCCTTAGAACACAGAATGTCAGGACTGGGAGGGGCCTTAGAACACAGAATGTCAGAGCTGGGATGGACCCTTAGAGCACAGGATGTCAGGACTGGGAGGGGCCTTAGAACACAGAATGTCAGGACTGGGAGGGGCCTTAGAACACAGGATGTCAGAGCTGGGAGGGCCCTTAGAACACAGGATGTCAGGACTGGGAGGGGCCTTAGAGCACAGAATGTCAGGACTGGGAGGGCCCTTAGAACACAGAATGTCAGAGCTGGGAGGGACCTTAGAACACAGGATGTCAGGACTGGGAGGGGCCTTAGAACACAGGATGTCAGAGCTGGGAGGGGGCTTAGAACACAGAATGTCAGGACTGGGAGAGGCCTTAGAACACAGAATGTCAGAGCTGGGAGGGCCCTTAGAACACAGAATGTCAGAACTGGGAAGACCTTTAAAATAAAACATTTGCATTCAGATGGACTCTAATGACCTCCTTCAGAAAAGTTTTAAAGGAGAAATGGTGTGGAGGCTAAGTGGCCATTCCAGGTACAGGAAGGCCTGGCTCAAGTGCTGCCTCTGACACCTAGTGACTGTGTGATCACAGGCATTTCACCTCTCAATGATCTAGTCCAATGATAGCAAACTCACTAAAAAACAAGGGCCAATAAAAGGTACATAAGGATCCCTGCTGACCACCCATTGTCTTAGAAAACCACGTTACCATCATGTATGTTTTATTGTGTTTTTGTTTTGTGAAGCAAATTCCAATTCCATTTCAATCTGGTTTGGGCTGCACTCAGAACATCGTGTCTGACATCTCACTGTCTCCCAGACTGGAAGCTGCAGCAAAGTGTCCATCTGCATTGACAGAAAGGACTTCCTCTATCCAGGGATCCCCTGCACTGTTAATTTAAAAAAAGAAAAGTTTTCCAGTCCCCAGGTCTGGGAGATGAGTAAAAGAAGCAGCTAAGTTTGAGCAGTGCTCTTTCTGTTTTTCAGAAGCTGATGTATACCGAAATATTGAAGAGCAAAGTTACCCAGTCACCTCCTATGGTGAGTTAGAGACAGATCCCAAATGAGGAAAGGGGCAGCCCTTCCCCCCCAAGCCAAGGAGCTGTTTGTGGGATGGCAGAGATGAGAGTGAGCCCATCCCAGGTTCTTAGAGGGCATTTCCCAGAAAGGTCTTTCTTTCTAACAATTAGTACTCAGGGCTCCCAAACACCAAACATTAGGGTTTTAGACTTGGAAGACCTTTGACAGATCATCTAATCCAACCACTTCACTTTGCAGTTAAGGAAAGAGACCCAGAGAGTAAGGCCACATATATAGTAAGAAGGGCAGAATTTGAATTCAAGTCCTTGGACTCCACACTGGTGCTCTTTCCACTATACTAGACTGCCTTTCTTTGATAGAATCAAATAGTGGAGGTGGGAGGAGAGCTACAAAGTTATGAATTCACTGCCTCTCCCTCACTTCAGGCTTCCTTGCACAAAAAGTGATTTGTACAACAATGATCATAAATAATTATGGGATCATAAATTTGGAGGAGGAAGGGACTTTAGAGGCCATTGAGTCTAATACCTTCATTTTACAGATGAGGAAACTGAGGCTTATGACAGCAAAGTGACTTTTCCAGGATCTCACAGCTGCCCACTCCCTGCCAGTGTGTAAGGGCTGGATTTGAACTATAAAATCTTTCAGATTCTAAGGCTGGGAATTGAGGGAGGGAGGAGAAAGGAATAAACATTTATATAGCGCCTACTATGTTCCAGACACTATGCTAAGTGTTTTACAGATATTATCTCATTAATAATGCCATGGACAGCTAAGTGTTGCAGTGCATGAAGTCAGAAAGACTCATCTTCCTGAGTTCAAATCCTGTCTCAAACACTTACTAGCTGTGTGACCCTGAGCAAGTCACTTAGCCCCATTTGCCTCAGTTTCCCTATCTGTAAAATGAGCTAGAGAAGGAGATGGCAAACCACTCCAGTATGTTTGCCAAGAAAACCCCAAATAGAGCCCCAAAGAGTCAGACATAACAGAACGACAACAATGCCATAAGCATTACATCATGCCTGAGTTTGGGAGAAATTGCCTGGTCCAACTCATTTTTATAGATGAGGAAGCTGAGACCCAGAGAAAATGACTTGCCCGAGGTCACATAGCCTCCAAAGGTTCAAAATGCCATCTGAGAAACAAAAGAAATTCTATCCCCAAAGGTCCTTTCAAAAGTTGCCAGGACTTAGAGTAAGAAGCACCTTCTCAGCCAAAAACATCATTGCACTGAAGTGTGATCGTGTGGAGAGACAGGCTGTTGGCTAAGGTTCCTTCCCCAGTCTTTATACCCCTTTGCAAGTGTAGTGTGATCCATCCATCCATCCACACACATGTGAGAGACAGAGGCAGATGGAAACTGGCAGGCTGCTTCAGGTTTGGACGGAGACCAAATGGTGATGGAGGATTATGCAACAGATGACGATTGATGTGCTTTAGAAAGATTGGCCCCGGGAAGCTGCTCTAGCCTGGCCAGGCAAGAGAAGGAGATTCCTAGAACGTCAGGATCTCACCATGCTCGGCAAAATGGGCACCACATACATCATGGCCTCACGGAGGGCCCATAAGGTGGACGGGAGGCAGTGTGGTGTGGCAGAAAGAGCCGCAGGACCTGGCTCCAAATCTCGATTCTGCCATGTAACTAGCTGCGTCATCTTGGGTACGTCATTTCTCTCTAGGTCTCACTGTCCTCAGTTAGAAAATAAAAAGATTGGATTCAATTCCAAGATTTTTTGTTTCTTGAACCTCTTTCAATGACAACAACAAAAATGTGTTGTGATCCCCTAGGGTGATTTAATTTATAATATTCTACTTAGATTTATTCATTAAGTGTTTATAATAACTACAATGATAACTTTTGACCCCAAAAGCTCCCAATTAAAATTTACATTGTATAATTGTAATTATAAAATTATTTTCTCCCTATAATTGCAGAAACACATGTATAACGCTTCAAACATGCACATGCTTGTTGTCATAGAGGAAAAACCTTTGTGGCATAATTGGACAATTATTTACGGCTTAAGGTGCGATTAAAGGATTTTTAGCTCAAACCCCTTGGGCATCGCTTTGATAGGAACCACTGGATTCGATGAATTCTAAGGTCTCTTTCCAAGCTACGTCTCTGATGGGCTGAGTTTGCATACTCCCATTTCTCCAACTAAATTTGTCAGTCATTTATTAAGTCCGCTCTGTGTGCCAGGCACTGTGCTAAGTAATGAAGGAGATGACATGTACTGGGGTGTTTTGATGTCTTGCATTGTGGTACTGTGGCAAGAGCCCTGGATTAAGATGATGGAACCGGGGTTCCAATTCTGACTTTGAGACTTTACTACCTAATTATTCTTGAGCAAATCACTTCTTCCTGTAGGCCTTCCTCTGTAAAATGAGGGAATCAGCCTAGATAATTTCTAAGGACCTTCTAGATCGAAATGTTATGATCTCAAGAGCTCGAGGCGAAAGTCCAGTCACCATATTTCAAAGCCAGCTTTGGCCTTCCTGCACCAGCATGTGTGATGGAAGATTGTAGGGTCCCAGAGTTCAGGCTAGAAGGGAACTCTGCAACCCCCTTGTTTTACAGATGAAGAAATGGACAGAGGAAGTGACTTGTCCAAAGGCACACAAGCAGTGAGGGGCAGAGGAGAGATTCGAACCCAGGTTCTAGGATCCCAAATCCAGCCCTCTTTTCACTGATTAACTTCCATTTCCCTAGAGAATCTGCAGAGTCCAACACCTGGCACGTTGTTGGTGCTCAATAAGTTCTAGGATTATGTCGGAAGTTCAAGATGTGCAAACCATTGCCATCACATTAACCTGGTAAGATGGGCAGTACAGTTCTCACCGGCCCCACATTTTATAGACAAGGAAACAATCCAGCCAAAGAAGACTACTCAATGTTCCCCATGGGATCCTACCCTCTTCTACCTCTGGGCATTCACTGCAGACTATCCCCATGCCTGGAATCCACTCCTTCCTCTCTGTCTTTGTGAGTCTTTCTCTGCCTTCAAGGCTCAGCTCAAGGGCCTCCTCCTCCGTGAAGCCTTCCCAGATGACCCTAGGTATTAATGTCTTCTCTCTCCAGATCCATCCTTAGCTAGTGGTGCAGTGGGTGGAGTGCTGGGCTGAGAGTCAGAAAAAGCTGCGTTCAAATACAGTTTTGGACACTTACTAGCCCAGTGTGGCACTGGGCAAGACACTTAACTTCTATTTGCCTCAGTTTCCTCATCTGTAAAATGGAGATCATAATAGCGCCTACCTCCTGGGGCTGTTGTGAAGCTCAGACAAGACAAGAATTATAAAGCACTTAGCACAGTGCCTGGAGCATGTCGTTGTTGTTATCGTCGTTGCTGAGTAGTTTCAGTGGTGTCTGACTTCATGACCCCATCTGGGATTTTCTTGGCAAAGATACCGGAGTGCTTTTTCATTTCCTTCTCCAGTTCATTTTACAGATGAGGAAATTGAAGCAAACAGGTTAAGTGACTTGCCCAGGGTCACACAGCTAGTAACTGTCTGCAGACAGATTTGAACTCAGGTCTTCCTGACTCCAAGCATGGCACTCTATCCACTATGCCACTAGCTGCCCACTTGGTGCATAGTATGTGCTATATAAATGTTAGCGATTCTTATTGCCATTATCATGTATGTACAAGTGCGGGTGTACATGCTATACTACAAAACACCATCCCCCCACCCCTCTCAGTAAATAAGCTCCTCAAGAGAAGGGTTTGAGTCTTGTTTAACCTTTATATCCCCGGGGCCTAGCCAGTACCTGGCATACAGCAGGTGCTTAATAAATGTGTATTGATAGTAACTTACCTCTGATATTTACTGCCTAGGTGATCTTGGGACAAGTCAGTTACCCTTCCAAGCTTCAATTTCCTCAACTGGAAAATGAGGGGTTTGGGTGAGACGGCCTCTGAGCTCTGTTCAACTCTAGATTTAGATGATTGTTTAAGATAAGTTAAGTGACTTAGCCAGGGTCACACAGCTAGTATATGTTGGAGCTGGGATTCCAACCAATGTTACAAGGCAGCCATGGCATCCTTGCAAGCAGACTGGACTGGCAGTTGGAGGACCTGGGTTCAAATCTCAGCTCACCTTCTTTCCTACTTGTTTACCTTGAAGAAGACATTGTGAGCTTCCATTTTGTTGGCTTTAAAGTGACATTGTCTCTAAAATGATCTCCAAGGTGCCTCCTAGTTATAAGTCCTGTGGTCTCTCCCTGTAACTTAGACATCAGAAGGTTTTATAGCTGAAAGAGACTTTAGGCTCACAAAATGCTGGACTTAGAATCCCAGCTCTAGAGTAGGATGGGATCTCCGAGAATGTCTAGTCCAAGCCCCCATTTTATAGATGAGGAAACTAAGGCCAGGGTCACATTAGGTGGTGTCAAAAGTGGGAACTTGGAGTCCAGAAAATCCATGTTCATGTCCTGTCTCTTGTTAGCTGCTTAACCACTCTTCAGTAGAATGTAAACTCCCTGAGGGCAAGCAGGGGCCCTTTCACTTTTGTCATTGCATCCCCAGCTGCTTAGCTCTGGGACTTTCACCCAGTAGGCAGTTAATAAGTGCTCATTGATCAGTTGGTCTGTCATTCTCATTCAACTTCAAATCTTAGTCAACAAGCATTTATTAACCACTTACAAGTACTTACCTCCCAGAGTGATTGTGAGAATCAAATGAAAAAAATATATTTAAACATATTAAATAAATATATCTGAAAATGATGAATTACTATATCTTTGAAGACTGAAATTGGGGAGGCATGGAGTCAAGATCTGGGTACAAATCCTACCTCTGACATTTATTAGCTGTGTGGCCCTGGGCAAATCATTTTGCCATTCTGAGCCTCAGTTCCTTCCTCTGTTAAATGAGAGGGTTAGATAACTTTAAAGAACTTTCTATCTCCAAGAAAATTAAGCCACGATAAATGTCATATAAATGCTAGTTCATGTGGTTATTTTAATGATCCATAGTCATTCTTGTGAGATACGTTATCAATGCATTTTAGCAATAAAATCTCCAGTCTGGGTGAAGCCCCCCCATTTTGATAAAAAGATGTCACTACTGATAGCTGTTAGTGGCCAAGATCTCTCACTCCCTCCACCTCCACGGTGGCTGAATTTAGAAGCTCTTGCCTCATCAGATGTGAATTTGCACATACTGATTACTATGTACATCGTCTGGCTGCTGCTTTTTCATTCTCAAAGTTAACACTTGTGGTTTCTAATGTCACCCACTGCTGTCTGTTAAGCGGCCTCTGGCTACTTTGCTGCTATTATTCAAACACAGTTGTACTGGTGCCCACAAAGTTTGTATTTTTCCCATTTTCTGGAATCTCCCCCGCTCCCCACAATGAACTAGTATCTTCTTCATCTCTCCCTTCCCTTTTGTCACTAGGCAAATTACCAGCATCTAGCACACACAGAGTTCTATAGATACAAATATATATTTTGTTTTTTCTAAAGGAATTTCTCAGGGCCGGAAGGGAATTCAGATACCATCTAGTTCAACCAGCATCTAAATGTTTACAGCAAAAAGTCACAAGACTCCCTGCAGGCTGGAGGTCTCTTCTGGACTGGACATTGTCTAGTCCTAACTAGCTGTGTGATTCTGGGCAAGTCACTTAATCTCTGTCTCAGTTTCCTCAATGGTAAAATGGAGATAATCATAGCATCTACCTCACAGAATTGTCCTTGGATGAAATAAGATAGTATTTGTGAAGTATGTAGTTGGTACTTAATGTTTATTTCCTTTCCCCTTCTCCCAGTCCAACCTCAAAAAGAACTAGAAAAAGGAATAGGCAGACTCATAAGGTAGTGAATTTAGATTAATAAGAAGCCTGAAGATACAGACATCTTGGCAGTTTGGTAGCTTAATGGATAAAGTGCTGGACCTGGAGTCAGAAAGACCTGAGTTCAGATCCAACCTACTGTACCAAGTCTTCAAGCTGAGGTTGGATCACCACTGTTAGAAGAGGGGGTAGGTAGGATTCAGATTCAGATTCCTACCCTTCCAGATTTATGGCACTTTGTTTTCCTTAACTCAAGTTACATTCTAGGCAAATGATTACATATAGATACAGCTACTTGTATCTAGTACATGACACTCCTCTGTTAACTCCAGGCCTTTGCATTAGCTATCCCCATGCCTGAATTCCTAGCTCCTTTCAAGGCTGAGCTCAAGTGAGAAAGAAAGAAAGAAAAGAGACAAGACATTTCTTTGTTTTGTTTTTCACTAGGCAATGGCGTTAAGTGACTTGCCCAGGGTCACACAGCTAGGAAGTGCTAAGTGTCTGAGGCTAGATTTGAACTCAGGTCCTCCTAACTCCAAGGCTGGAACTCTATCCACTGCGCTAACAAGACATTTCTTAAACTCCTTCAGTTTCTAATGCCCCTCTACCTTCCAGAAATTACTTTGTATATACTATGGACTAACTTATCTGAGTACATACTGCTTCTTCTAATCAAATATAAGTTCTTTGAGGGCAAGAACTATCTTTTCTTCTTTCTTTCCTTCCTTCTTCCTTCCTTCCTTTCTCTCTCTTTCTCTCTTTTTCTTTCTTTCTTTCTTTCTTTCTTTCTTTCTTTCTTTCTTTCTTTCTTTCTACCTCTAGCATCTAACCCAGGGACTAGAATATAATAGGTGCTTAATAAATGCCTATTGAATTAATGGATTCAAGTATAATTGGATTAGGAGGGTCTGAGGTCCCTTCCAACTCTAAGGTTCTGAGCTTCCATGAGATGACTCACTCAAGGTCACACAATGGATTAATGGCAGCATCAGAACTAGAGTTGGGTCTCTAACCCATCAGCCCAGAAGTCTTTTCACTAGACAGCCATATGGTGATGCACCTCTGGAACAGGCAACCTGAGACAGATCCAGGGCAAGATGGGCCAAGGGAGGTCCATAGGCTGCTGCAAGAAATCATGCCCACCTTCCAAATGTTGGTGTCCTGGGATGGCACTCCAGCCATCCAGGCTAGTTATGATTCTGAGTCCTGGCCACTGAAAATGAATGGGGAGGGTCGAATGCTATTTGAAGATTTTTTTCATGAGTAATTATGAATATGTCTTTGTTTATGTGTTAAAGCTCAGGGTCAAAAAGATCATGCCCAAGACAAACCAGGAGAAAGACCTACAGAACAAAGAGTCACCACAGAAAACCATCCTGGAAATCATCATCCCTAAAACAAGTGATAGGAACTAGCAGAAGTGTGCCCCACTACACTTTCCAAATCACAAGTCTTTTGGAACCTTCTGTGGACAGTTGCTGAATGCTGCTCCTAGATCTTTGAAGCACACCTAGAATTTTGTTCCCCCTTCCCCCACCCTCCCACCCATGCCCAAAGACTTGCATTTTGCACAAGACCAAGTTTCAGTGTGTGTGGAGGAACGGATTGTGTGTGTGTGTGTGTGTGTGTGTGTGTGTGTGTGTGTGTGTGTGTGTTTAATACCTTCAGATGAATGTGTTAGGTCCCGACAATCATAATGGATTGAAATCACTAATGCAGAATCCAGAGTCTTGAGTAGAGAGATGATGCAATGCAGTGTTTGGTTCATGGCCAAGTGGAGGCCCCTGTCCTCCCTCTCTTCTCCCAGCACATCCCTTAGTGGACCACAGTGCAGAAAGTGCTGTGGTCCTAGCAACTCTTGCCCTGAGCTGTCTCCATGGTGACAGGATGGGAGCGAGTGTTAGACACTGAATTCTGAGTTCATTATAATAAATTTAGAAAAACTTAACTCAATTCTGTTGTTTAAACCAAGCCAGAAGTACTAAGGGAACAAACTGAATCCTTGTGCTGAAAAAGTCAAAGGCACCATAGCTAGCAATACTCATTTTCACTATGCTAAAAATCCCTGTTCTTTTCTCCCTTCTACTTCTCCCTTTATTCGACTCTCTCTTCATCCCCTTTGTCATGTCTCTGTTATAGATGTTTTTCAATTTATAACATAGGTGGCTAAAGACATCAAGGTTAAGACTGAGAATTCACTGATGTCATTGACTACAATAAAATTATTTTTCAAGATTTTAGTAGTTAATGCCTTTATTATACTATGTAGCACCTGGGGATATCTACTCTCCACTTCCATGTGGGCTGCCCTAGACTAGTTACCTTAGATATGAGATACTCTGTATATTCACATCTACTCAGGAACCATAGTTTGTGAGCCCCCACCAATGTGTTTACTTTTACCAGTCAACCACAGAATACAATTAGTTGAAAGCAAAGGTATTTAATGAAAAAGCATAGTAAGAAAATTAGCAATAGAAGATTCTTCCCATAAACCTAGGGCACATTTTTTTCACAAATACATACTCCACTAGTGGAAAAGGTTTACATATGTAGAAAACACAGGGAAGAGGTATGCACATGCACACACACATACTATATATATATAACCAATGAGCATGTATATAGAGGCAACTCATGCTGTTTCTGTCTATCACTGTCTTTTGGTGATGTCATTGCATTGCCCCTCTTGGTTGAGGGGCTGGGAATTTCCACCAGCTATGGAGTCTCTGGGTTGTTACTCCCTGCTGGTCTCACCTGATTGCTACTCAAAGGCGCTCTGCTGATGTTATGATTATCACCAATCACCACCTGGTAGTTTTGATAGGTAAAAGGCTATGTCTTCCAGCTTCTGGCTTCAAGTGTAGACCTCAGCTGAGTTGTTACTTCTTCTCCAAAGAAGGAAGAGGAATGAGTTTTGCCATCTCTCCTTTAAGTCAGAACTCAGAGACTCAAGCTTCAGTTCTTATAGAAAGGCAAAACCCTAAGTCAGAAGGAAGGGGGCCCAGCAGTACCAATTCTCACACTGTACTACCAAGCAGCAATCATCAAAATTATTTGGTACTAGATAAGAAACGGGTCAATCGGTAGAACACATTAAGTATATGACATATAGAAAGGAGCTAACCTAGTAATCTATTATTCAATAAACCCAAAACCCCAAGTATTAGAGTAAGGATTCATTTTTGACAAAAATTGATGAAAACTGCCAGCAGTCTGGTAGAAAATAGCTTTAGACCAATACTGAATGTCATATACCAATATAAACTCTGAATAGATACTTGTGTTGAATATCAAAGGTTATTTGTTGTTATTTCAGTTATGATTGACTCTTCATGACCCCATTTGGAGTTTTCTTGGTAGAGATACTGATGTGGTTTGCCATTTTATTCTTCAGCTCATTTTATAGATGAGGAGAGTGAGGCAAATAGAGTTAAATGACTTGCTTAGGGTTACAAAACACGTAAGGGTCTGAGGCCAGATTTGAACTCATGAAAATAAGTCTTCCTGACTCCAGGCTCAGAACTCTATCCAGTGCACCACTTAGCTGCCCTTATCAAAAGTCATATCATAAACAAATTATAAATGCAAGGTAGAAATTACCTTTCAGTTCTTTGAGTAAGGAGACAGTTTATGACCAAACAAGGGATAGAAAGAATCGCAGAAGATAAAAACAATTTTGATTATGTAAATTGTAAAAAGTTTAGCGCGCGCGCGCACACACACACACACACACACACACACACACACACACATCCAACATAGCTGAGATTGGAAGGGAAACAGTTAACTAGGAAAAATCTTTGCAGCAAATTTCTGAGATAGAGGTCTCATTTCTAAGATATATAAAGAACTGATTGAAAATTAGAATAGCACCCATTCCACAGCAAGTAAATGATTAAAGGGTATGAATAAGCAGTTCTCAAAGAAGGACATCCAAGCTACTGATAGCCATATGAAAAAATGTTCCAAATCGCTAATAATCAGAAAAATTCAAATTAAAGCAGCTCTGAGAAACTTCATAACCATGAGATTGAGAAAGGTGATAAAAAAAAAAAGGAAAATGACAAATGGAGGGGCTATGGGAAAGAAGACACAGGGTTGCACTGTTGGTGGATCTGTGAATTGCAACCAAGAAATTTGGAACTATGTCCCAAAAAGTCAATAAACTCTGCAAACCCTTTGACTCAGATGTCATTACTAGTCCCATAAACCAAGGAGATAAAAGCATGAGAAAAAAGTACTATATGTGCAAAAATATTTATAGCACTCTTTTTGTAGTCCAAGAGCTGGACATTAAATGTGCAACCATCAGTTGGGAAGTGGTTGTACAAATTATGATACATGAATGAGCAGAATACTATTGTGCTAGAAGAAATGATGAGATGGTTTCAGAGAATCCTCAGAGGATTTGTATTAATTTATGCAGAATAAAGTGAGCAGAACCAGGACAGTAATTTATATTACAATAACATATTGTAAAAAAAAATGAACAGTTTGGAAAGACTTAAAAACCATGACCAACACAACGATCAACCATAATTCCAGAGCACTGATGATGAAAAATGCTGCCCACCCTGGAGCAGAAAGGAGTAATCTGAATATATAGAATGAATATATGGAATATAGAATGGCTAATATTGGAATTTGTTTTGCTTGGCTATGCATATTTGTTATAGGGGTTTGAGAGAAAGATGAAGGGAGAAAGAAAGAAAGAAAGAAAGAAAGAAAGAAAGAAAGAAAGAAAGAAAGAAAGAAAGAAAGAAAAAAGAAAGAAAGAAAGAAAGAAAGAAAGGAAAGAAAGAAGGGAAGGAAGGAAGGAAGGAAGGAAGGAAGGAAGGAAGGAAGGAAGGAAGGAAGGAAGGAAGGAAGGAAGGAAGGAAAAGAAAGACAGACCCTGACAAGCCCAGGATCAGAATTCTTAGCTTTTTTTTTTTCTTGAATGGGAGTTAGATAGTCCTCAGAGCTTTGGCTATAAAAGCTTTTCCTTTCCAAAAGGAGAGCCTTAATTCCAGGGCTAAGCTCTTTTGGAATCTTGAATAGTTAATCATCAAAGCATGACCTGCAGGAATAAAGTTTATATTTTTAACTTCCATTTGTTACTTTCCAAAGTTAGGGTAACTGTTTTAAAACTTTCTAACTAATGTTAGAAAGTCTTTGCAAACCCTGTGTTATGCACCCAAACTGCACCCATTCAGCAGTGTTTTAAGGGTTACCCTTCAAACAAAACACCAAGGTCCTGATCTAAGTTTTGGTCTAAGGCCATGTGATATTCTCATTCCTAAGATTCTTTTGGTCTATCATCAAATGAATTGGGGGGAGGGGTGCAGGAGAGAAGGCAAAGGAATAAAAACTAAATGGAACTACTTCAGGGTCTACTTCTAGCCTTACCTCAACCATGTCAGTCCCTTTTTTCAAATTCCCAACTTTATTGTGTATATGGTGGCCCACAGCAGTCAATCAATCCATAAACAGAGAAAGAAAGACAAAAGACAGTCCCTGGCCTCAAGGAGCTCATAGTCTAACAAGGGAGACAACATGCAAACAATTATTTAAAAACAAGCTCTACACAGGATAAATTGGAAGTTCTTAACAAAGAGAAAGCACTAGAATTAAAGGGGGGAGAAGGGTGTTGGGAAAGACTTCTTGTAGAAGATGAGATTTTAGCTGGAACTTTGCCAGTACCTGGCTTAGAGCACCACCTGAAAGGGAATAATTAGCTGGCTCTCCACCTCACTGGTGTGGGTACTAATCCCACTGGTATATCTGGCAATGCCTCTATTCTTCCATCAATGCTTGTCATCTTATGGAATTCTTGTCCATGTTCTCCCATAAATCCTCCCTAGAAGATTAACCTGGGGCAGCTAGTTAGTGAAGTATATAAAGGGCCAGGCCTGGAGTCAGGAAGACCTGAGTTCAAATCCAGCCTCAGACACTTACTAGCTAGGTGACCCTGGGCAAGTCACTTCATCATGTTTGCCTCAGTTTCCTCATCTATAAAATGAGCTGGAGAAGGAAGTGGCAAGCCACTCTCACAGGGTCATTAAGAATCATACGTGACTGAACAACAACAATTGTGTTTTCATTTTATTAACTGTTTTCCAATTACATTTTAATCTGGTTCAGGCTTCACTCCAGAGTACTGCTTCAACTACAAGCTGCCTGAAAGCCACATTGGACACTTCTGTCTAGAGGATGGTTTGGAGTGAGGAGAGAGCTGAAACAGGGAGGCTAGTTAGAAGGCCGTTGCAGTAGTCTAGATGGAAGGTGATGAGGTGTGTGAGTGAAGCAGAGATGACTAGTGGTGGGCAGTGGGTGTTTGTGACTACGTGCATGAAGAGCCCTTCTTTGGCAAACAGGTTTTACTTGAGCCACTTGACAAACCAGGACCAGGACCTGTTACCTGCCGAAACAGAGGCATGAAATGTCTCAGGAAATATATTGCTTGGTCATTACACTCTCTGAGTCTTCAGCGTCTGCTTTGTTTTTGTGCTGACCAACACAGCTTTGAAGAAGAGATATAAGATGACATCTTTG